AAGCTCACATACTCAGGGACCGAGGACCGCAGCTCAGCAATGCTGTTTGCCAGATAGTTTCACTCTAAAGATGTACTTTCCATTTGTAATTAGTAAGGAATCCGTGGGTAATACATTAAAGCTATGTGACCAGCTTGTTCCTGAACAATCTTTTACCCAATGGTTCTGACCCATGTCTGAAAGAGCTAGGGCACTGAGGTTGCAAAGCAATCATTTTTCTAATTCCATCATTCCTCCTGCATCTATTAGCTAGCATTCTTCTTTAATAAAGAGCTTTCTTTAGTCTACCTACTTCCCATAAATTTTCATGTATTCAAAGTATTATAATCAAGAACAATATTTATTATATTTGATGTTCAGGTTGCCCCCAGATGCAATCAGTCCCAGGCTTTTCAAGCAGGTCCCTGTGTCCTTGTGCTATGACTCACTTATTAGGGCTTGAGCTGTTCTTTGCTTATAAAAGTACACTTTATCCAAGGCTCTCCTTGTATTTTCCTTGTCCCAGAACTGCATCAGCCATTTCTCTAAGGTGCCTTGGTACTTTTGAGAAAGGAATGTTATCTGTAAACAAAGATAAGGTATTATATGTACTTATTGCTTTTTCAGGTAGAATCACTTCAAGACTGATTCACAGTTTTTGTTTTGTTTTAAAATCGGGAGTTCGTATTGGCATTCTTAATTCAACAGTATCATTATAGAATTGTTTTCTTTACATCTTGAATTTTGTGTTTTCATCTCTTTTTCTTATACTATATATCTTGGCTTCTGATAAAATTAATGTATTTATTGCTTTTGCTTTATTCTTGTGAGATATATACATAAAATTGTTTTACATTATAATAATATGACTAATACTAATGAATATACTGGGCAATGCTTACAATTTTTTTTTTTTTTTTTTTGCATTTCTGTTTTTAGAATATATCTCGTTAAGAATGAGTCAGAGGCCCTGGTGGGTTTGGTTCAGCAGTCAGAGCATCGACCCTCAGACTGAAGGGTTTCAGGTTCAATTCCAGTCAAGGGCATGTACCCCAGTTGCTGTTCAATCCCTGGCCCTGGTCAGGGTTGTGAGGGAAGTAACCAATCAACATGTCTCACATTGATGTCTGTCTCTGTCTCTGTCTCTGTCTCTGTCTCTCTCTCTCTCTCTCTCTTTCTCTCTCATGCTCTCTCTCCTCTTCCCTCCCTCTCTTCCAGTCTCTCTAGAAATAAAAATCAATGAAAAAATATCCTTGGGTGAAGATTAACTACAACAATAAAAAAAACAGAGAGAATGAATCAAACAACTATATTGATATATGAGCTGAAATAATTGTTTTCTCTATGTGTCCATGTTATCAATTTGATAAACATTTAAATTTATTTGCTTTTTGTGTTCAATATTAGGGTTTGTAATGTTTTCCTTTTGTTAATCCTCACCACAGGGTATTTTTTCCATTGATTTGTAAAGAGAGTAGAGGGAGGGACAGATGGGGAAAGAGAAAGAGAAACATTGATGTGAGAGAAACACATAGATTGGTTGCCTCCCACATGCACCCCAACTGGGACTGGGGATCAAACCTGCAACCCAGGTATATGCCCTTGACCGAGAATCGAACCTGTGACCCTTTGGTGTGCAGGCCAGTGCTCTAACCACTTAGCAACATAGTCAGGGCTCTAATGTTTTTGTTTCGATTAAATTTTAGTTTTTGGTTATATGAAACATTAATGCGGCTTCAAAGTTAAAACCACAGAAGGAGGTAGACTTAAAGGAATGTATCTCTCATCCATGTCCTTTTCACTCTATTCATCACCTGTCCCCTTTAGAAACCATTTTGATTAGTTTGTTTTTATACCAGCTTTATTGAGATATATTTCACTTGCCACAAAATTCCCTATTCTAAAGGGAAAAGGGTACAATTTAATGTTTTTAGTATATCACAAAGTTGTGTAAGCATCACTACTATCTAAGTCTAGAACATTTCCAGCACTGAAAAAACCCATACCCGTTGGTGCCATTCCCCCTAACCTCCCATGTCCCCACATCCCAGCCCTAGGCAACTGCCAATCTACTTTCTATCTCCACAGATTTGTCTACTGTAGATACTCCATGCAAATGGAATCATATGATATGTGGCCTTTTGTGTCTGAGTTCTTTCACTTAGCATCATGTTTTCAAGGTTTATCTATATACTAGCACTTGATCCCTTTATATGGCTGAGTAATGTTCCACTGTATGTTTATATCACATTGTTTTTCCATTCATCAGTTGATAATCATTTGGGTTGTTTTTACCTTTGGGCAACTATGAATAATGCTTCAATGAATATTTGTGCACAAGTTTTTGTGTGGACATATGTTTTCATTTCTGTTCAGTATATACTTAGGAGCAGAATCGCTGGGTCATGGAGTAAATATGTTAGCATTCTGAGTCATTCGTTCTTTCATTTATCCTACTGTGCTTCATTTGACAAAAGTAAGAAAATATGTGTTTACATTCTTACATACTCTATTTCCCTCTTTTTTCTTACAAGAAAGGTAGCATATTATACACCCTGTTTTACACCTTGGGTTGTTTGTTTTGTTGTCTGTTTATATGCTGGAAATTTATAACATATCCTGGAAATCACTACAAAAACAAAGTCCATAGGTTATTCTTTCCATTCTTTTTAATGACTTTATAATACCACACTGGTTGAATATAGCATTATTGACTCAACGAGTCCCCTATTATTGAACATTTGTATCGTTTGCAATCTTTTGCTATTAAAAATTATGCTGCAGCCCGGCCGGTGTGGCTCAGTGGTTGAGCATTGAACCAAGCACCAAGAGGTTGCTGGTTCAATTCCTGGTCAGGGCACATGCCCAGGTTGTGGGCCCGATCCCCAGTGGGGGGCATGCAGGAGGCAGCCAATCGATGTTCTCCCTCATCCATGTTTCTCTCTCTCTCTCTCTCTCTCTCTCTCTTTCTCTCTCTCTCTCTCCCCCCTTCTTCTCTCTCTAAAAATAATCAATAAAGAAAGGCTTTTTTTTTTATTATGCTGCAGTGATGAACCTCATGCACATGTTGTTTGGTGTTTGTGGAGGTGTCTTCAGAGTAGGCACGTGGGAGTGAGATTGCTGGCTCAAAGGGTAACAATGTGTAGATTCGTTAGTTACGACTGTATTCCCCTCCTCTAGGTCTGTATTGCATCAACACCAGCAGCATCCTACAGTACCGGCTGCCCCAAAGACTCACCAACAGAGAACACAGTAAAGCCTTAGGGTTTGCCAATAGATGGTATTTCAGTTTAGGTTTCATTGACATTTTTTTTTTTCTTATTATGAGTCACCTTGAGCAGTTTTTCTTTTTCTTTTTTTTTTTTTTTTCAGGGTATTTATCTTTCTATTTCTGTGTCCTGTGTATTCGTGTTGTCTCCTGCTCATTTTGTTCTAGGGATGTGAAGGACCAAGATGCTTGCAGTAAGGCAGGTGGCCCACCTTTGGGTGAACGGAGGAAGGTGTGGCTCACCCATCGCTAACAGGAGAATCCTCAGCCAGGCCCTTGGCTCCTGTCACATACTGAGACTCTTTGGAAATCAGAGCTGGAAGAACCATTTGAGATTAGCTAGTCCAGTCCCCTCATGTTATAGATGAACAAACTGAGGCCCAGAGAGTAGGTGGAGCTTTCTTAAGGTCACACAGCAAATTCACAACACAGCTAGAACTTGAACACAGTCTATTTCCCCCAGGACAACTTCAAATTAACATGCAAATGACATGTGTGCTGATTTTTGTATTTTGACTGAGATTATCACAAACAACTTTTTCAAAAGAAAACATCTCTTAATGGTCTCTTTTAGCCCAAATTGCAAACAGTGGCAATAAATATAAAAGCCATCGTCTTATTAATTCTGTCTATTTACATACATTAGTGTCTATAATAATGATTTTAAAATGTAAAATCTCAGAGCTGAATAAGATCTAAGAGATATTTCATTATATCACTGGGAAGCCGGGGTCCAATGATGCAGAGTGATCAGGACTTATCACAGAGGGAGGTCAAGAGGGCCACTTAGCCTGGAGCCTCTTCTCCACCAAGGGCCTGAGTTCTCGGTATTTGAGATCCTGTCCAAATGAGGTTAAAGTATAGCATCACTGCATGTCTGTGAATGTGTGGATAGCTTTACTTTGTTACCTACACTTAAAATACATAATTTTTTTCTAAGCTTGTTGTCTCATTTCTTTACTGTTTAATATACCAAGAGTGGCCTAGAAAGTGGCCTGCCCATGATCATCAAGAAAGCTAGTTGCAGAACTAAACTAGAATCCAGGTTCACTGACTCTTGGACAGAGTGCGTTCTGCTGCACCATACTGCTGCCAACGAGGCAGCAACTGGCCCTTTATAAGCCAAGTAAATTCAGCTTTATTCAGATTGTTGAGCCCTCTGGCCAGGAAGCACCGCGCGGGGCACCCGTGTCCTATACACCCACCCATCTTCGATCCCATCACCAGGCCTGTTCTCTGGGATGCTGCCATCTGTTCTGGCCTTCCACACCCAAGCACAAAGTTGACTACAATCTTACCAATAACTCCCATGTCTTGAAGACTTCCTCTGTGCCATGCAGTTTGCCCGTGTTCATTCACATCCACACAACAATCCTGCTGCATGGTAGGCAATACTGTTGTCATTGCAGAGATGGCCAAACAGGCAAAGAGAGGTTTGCCTACCATTTTCCAGCTACTTAAGTGGTAGAGTTGGAATTCTAAACCAGGTTTATCTGAGAATAGGGCCTGTATTCAGCCCAGTCTGCCTGGTGCTACCCCTCGACTGAGACAACCCCTCAAATGAGATGCAAGATGACTCCGGGAGGGTAGTCAAAGGTCCAGGCAAAGCAGCCATCCTTACAGAGCACTTGGCGTGCCCAGGGTTAAGCAGCTGAGGGCTGGACTTGGAGGTGACAGGCAGTTTCTTTGTAGTGCTCTCACGTGGGCCAGTCCTTTCCTATGACTGCTTCCTGAAACCCCAGAAGTTACTTACTTGACCAAGTGTCTTATAAGAATTTCCAACATCTCTCGGTTCTTTTCTGGTAGCTTATATACCAAGGAGTGAATAGCTCCCAGCCGGTAATCCAGGTTGTCAGATTCTGAGAGAGAACAGAGACAGAGAGAGTTTTGCCTTCTGGGCGATTGGATCAAGCAAACTCTCATATACATACACATGTGCACGTGCAAAGATAAACAATAAGAGACAGAGTGTCAGAGAGAGGAAAAGAGACAGAGATAAACAGGCACAGAAATGCAATGCTAAAATATACTAGGACACAAAGACGCGGGGACAAAGAGAGGGGAAGGCAAAGACCAAAAGGCAAAAAAAAAAAAAAGAGAGAGAAATAAAAACAAGGAAGCAGGCCTCGAAAGTCGAAGAAATTAGATCAGAGAGGAGAAAGATGAGAACACAAGACTGTCTCAGAGGCAGTCAGAATTCTGGGTACAGACGGTCACTCCCTAATATGTCAATTTCCAGATGGAAACCCTTGCCCACCCACCATCCTCGTGGTACTGGCAGGTATGCTCCTGCCTCTGGGTTCCTAAGAAAATCACTAAGAGGGCTCAGAGGACAGATCCAAGGTATCTTGCCTCCGCGAACATTCATTATGAGGACAAGTCCCCTGAGGCTTTTCCTTGCACACCACGCAGGGCACAATGCAGGAGAAGGGTCATGTCGAAGTAGGCAGAGATACTCATGCAGGGGCCTCAGCCAAATGTTTACTGCTTCTTCAGCTGCCAGCTTTTGGGGTGATTCTATATGCCTTATTCCCATGCGCCTCTCCACCCTGGCCTGCAGTTTTAACATCTAGAAAATGTGACGCCAGCGCTAACAGCTTAGGAGTAATGATTCACAACACAGTTGAAAAGCATTCAAAGTGCTGGACACGCCCCGAAACAGCAAGTGTAGAGAACTACTGTGCTGTCCCCTGGCAGTGTGAGCGATGCTCTGGTTCTGACGGAAGAGGCACAGTCGATCAATAAAGTCCTCGCACCTGTCACATCCCTCAAGTTCGCTCGTTTTCTCCAACCCCCTCAACTAGCATCGACTTATGAAAAAACAATACAACACTTGAGTTAGACAATAAGCGAGGATACTTTCATTGGGCAGTGGATAAAAAAAATCTGTATGTTTTGGGTTTGTTTTTTTCCCCTCAAGCAGTTTTCTAAGCTTATTGCTATAAATATTAAGAAACCAGGACAACACAATTAACTAGTAACATAAATACTTACTGGCAGCAGAGACCAGCTCTTTATGTAGTCTATAGGTCATGACAGGTTCAGAAAGATTCCTGAAATTAATGAAGACTGTAAGTTCCTTTGGGAAGGGAGTAGCCAGGCCTCAGATTCTCAGTTCCATGGGTAGCAAGGCTGAAGTTTCTGAGTCCTGCGGTTTTGTGTGATTACACACATTTTTCTCCTCACCTGAAACTTTGTCAGAGGAATCCTATTTGCTAATGAGTCAACAGAAGGCCTGTGAAAGTATGATCTAAGACCCTGAGCAAGGTCTTCAATTCACTCCCCAAAATGAAAAGAGTCACAAACCAATCTTGCAGAATTCCAAGCGGACCCACTCTGAGTGCTACTATGAAGTCTTTACAGTTTGATAGTTGCTTGGTGGCTTTCACATCTGTCTCCCCATTTGATCCTTCCAAAGATCCTGTGTGGTGTAGCAGTTATTCAAATCCCCATTAAATAGAGGAGGAAACTGAGACTCAAATAGGTTTATTTAGTAAAAATTATAATAATTGACTTAGCACCTATTTGTGTCTGGCACTGTGACAAGTACTGGGGATCCAGAGATAAATATGACATAGTCCAAACCACCAAGGAGCTAATAGTCTAATTGAGGAGAGCATCATAAACAAAATTTGCAATGCAACAGGACAAGTGTGATGATAAAATAAAGGGAGATGGTGGATGACTCAGAGGAGGAAAGTAGTTCACTAATAATAATAATGATGATGATAATAGCAAACTCTTTACTGTTCTAAGTAATTTACATACATTTACTCATTTCATCCTCATGTCAGCCTTATAAAGCACATATTCTTAATATCTCCATTTTACAGATGAGGAAACTGACATTCAAAGAAGTTAAATAATTCATCCAAGACCATACAGCTAGTAAGTGCAAACGGGGCAGTCTGCCTCGAGTCCATGCTCTTAATCACTCTGCCATACTGCTTGCCACTGTTATTACTGTAGTAATCCAGGTGAGAGATAATAAAGGCCTAAATAAAAATAGTGGCATTAGGACCCTGGCCAGTTTGGTTCAGCAATTAAAGTTTCAGCCTGTGGACCAAAGAGTCTCAGGTTCGATTCTGGTCAAGGGGACATACCAGGTTGTGATTCGATCCCCGGCCCTGGTTGGGGTCATGCAGGAGGCAACCAATTGATGTGTCTCTCTCACATCGATGTTTCTCTTGCTTTCTCTCTCTCCTTCCTTCCTTCCCTCCCACTCTATCTGAAAATCAATTGAAAAATATCCTAAAATGAGGATTTTAGACAATGGTGGCATTAGGGACAGGAAAAAGAGGTGAGGAGAGTTACTGAAAGACAGCACAGATAGAAATCCAGTGATTGGGTATGTTGGTGAGGAAGAGAGTAATGTAGTTTAGGTGAATGGGTAGAATAGAAATCGATTCAGGGGGAAGAGGAGATACTAAGCCAGAGGGACCACTGGGATAGCCAGAGAGAAATGTCTTTTAGAAAGATGGATGGAGTAAACTTCTGGACCTGAGAAGTACATATAAAAATCATCAACCCAGGAGGATGGTTACAACCATAGAACAGATACAACTGCTCAAGGAGAGATGGCTATTTATTTGTCCAAAATAGTGCATAAAAAAAGAAATGGAATTGACTCAGTCATCAGAACATAAAAAATTGAAATATTTCACATAAAAAATCCATATTTATGCCTATTTTAAAAATGGAAAGATATAGCTACATCGGGCCCATATGGTTACTTGTGGACATCAAGAATCCTGCTGATTATATATAAACAAGGGATTGCTATACAAATAAAAGTTCCATGTGCAGGATGTTTAATAGGAAAGTAGTCTATTTCACACTCATTTTCATGTCCTGGCTCGTGTGGGGATCTAAGTTTTCCATCCCTCCATTACAGTAAAAAGAGAGGAGGGCCCTGGAAACAGCAGATAGAAAGCTCATGAATGAATGGAACTACTGAGAACAGTCTAAGAGGTGGGAGAAACTCCAAAAGCAAGTGATACAGCCAAAAGGGGAGAAAGTTTCAAAAAGGGCTTGTAAACAGCTTCAAATGATACAAAGAGGTGAGATAAGGTAAAGACTGACCATTGTCCATTGTGTTTAGCACTGAGGAGTCGCCGGTGACCTTGTGCCTGCAGCCTCAGTGCAGCAGGGAAGGTAGGAGTCAGAGTGCAATTTGTTCAACAGCAAACTGGGAGATAAGTCAAGACCGGGGGTGAAGGGGGAGTATATTACTTCCTCTACTGAAGTTCAGTTTGGAAGTGGGTGAAGTCTCCTTCCTACTAGGTCCTCTAAGCTCCTGCCTCCAATTATCTTCTCCACTGTCAATGATTCTCAATTTTTTATCTCCAGCCTAGAACTCTTCACTGAGTTTCATTCCTCTATGTTTTTCATATATCCAACTGCCTGTTTAAGATCTTGTCCTGATGTCTTCAAAGACATCCAACTTTGACATATCCAAGACCTAACTTGTTACCACAAATCTAGTATTTTTCTTGTATTTCCCAAATCAGTAAAGGTATGACCATCATGTGGTTGTTTAGGCCAAAAACATACAAGTTATTGTTTTATCTCCCCATTCCCCATCCTAATATCCAATTGACTCCCTCTCATATAATCTCTAGTTTTTTGTTGTTGTTTTTTCAAAATACAAATCTCATCATGTAATTTCCTGCTTAAATTCTTTCAATACATCAGTTGGCCAAAGCAGGTAGTTCTTCGTATGGAAACTAATACAATAATTAATAAATAATAATACAAGAATACACTCTGTTTCACATACTCACAGCTGTAAACCTACTTTCATCCATGCCTGTATATTCACATTCCTTTTTAGAAAAATCCAGACCCCAATCCTTACAAAGTCCTATAAGGCCGAGCATGATCCGACCCCTACATATCTCCCTCTGTCTCTATACTCCACTATACAGGTACATGGAGTTTCTTGAAGGGGTCTTCCTCCCTCCCTCCTACTGCAGGGCTTTGCATGTTGAGTTCTCTCTATGTGGAACAGCCTCCCACAGTTGACTCCAACTTATAATTCAAACCTCACTTCAAACAACCAGAATAAATCAGGTCTTCCTGCTACTTGCCCTTACAGTATCACTAACATCTTTCCTTCGGAGTACTTATCATACTTGGATGTCTTTGTACAATCATTTGTCTTTTGTCTGCTTACCTCATGGTTCTATGACCGTTTTAAGGTCAGGGACCATATCTAGTCACAGATATGTATGCCCACTGCCTAGACTTAGAGTGGGCACTCGGACATGTTTATTGAGTGACAGTGAATGGTGGGTTGAGTGAGTGAAAGAAGGCATGGGGTTAAAGATGCAGGAAGGAGAAGGGATCGTTTTTAGAGTATTTTTCTGGAAATGTTGGAGATAAGGGGTGAGTTAGGTACCTAGAACAGATGGAGGAAGCCCACTCTGAAAGTACTGATATTTTGAGAAATCTTAAGGGTGTTGACTGGTGCATATTAAAGGTACGTAATTAAGAGTCTTAAAGACTAATATCTCTTTTTGGGAGTACTACCCACTCACACTCTCAGGTTTGATTTTCCCATCTTTCAAAAGGGCCACACTGTTTATTGAGGGATGAGCTAGAAAAAAGGTGGGATGAAACTTAAGCTATACAAAAAAAATTCTGAAAAAAATGATTCCTTGCCCTTGCCTGTTTGGCTCAGCAGTTGGAGCACCAGTCTGCGGATTGAAGGGTTGTGGGTTCGATTCCCGGTCAATGGCACGAACCTGAGTTGTAGGTTTGATCCCCGGCCCCAGTTAGCATCGTGTGGGATGCAACCAGTTGATGTGGCTCTCTTACATCTCTCTCTCTCTCTCTTTCTCTCTCTCTCTCTCTCTCCCCCCCCTCCCTTCCTCCCTTCCACTTTATCTAAAATATCATCAGTGGAAAATTATCCCTGGGTGAGGATCAACAAAAAAATTGATTCCTTTGACGGAAGCTACAGATGGAATCATTTAATCTCACTATTCGTATCATCGCAAGTCTCCTGAAAGTATGCACAGCGCAGATTAGAAAATAATAAATAATAAATTACCCAAGCAACTCCAAGAAAGCCACAGTCCCTGGCAGTAAGAAATAAGGGAAGAAGGTGCTCCAAGACCAATGGCCTCACAAGTCAGAGATAGTTAGGTTCAAATACTATGAGGTGTGACCATGGACATTACTTAATAGGGAAGGGGGTGTACTTCAATTTCCTCGTCTGTAAAATGAGTATTAGTGCTACCTACTATACATAAGGTTATTGTGAGAAAAGACAATATTGTCAGTGCAAGCAAGCAGAACACTGCCAAGCACAGCATAAGCCCTCCAATAACAGTATCTTTTTTTATTTGGCAGATGCAAGAGAAACACTCCTGGAAAGAGCATTCATGTTCATCTAAAGTTCTAGGATGATGCCACAGCAGAAGGTCATTTAACAGCAATATCTGGGACCCAATGTATTTTCAATTAATGCTATTTCCCAGATCTTAAGTATCTATCTTACTAAAAAGTACAATAACTGAAAAGATATTTTAGCACATAACAAATATTTTTGCGTAATATAAATTCATGCCAATAAACAGAACGCTGTATTTATTATCATTGTGAATCCACAAATTTGCTGGGGAATAAACATTTTTCCCTAGTGCTGCCGCTTCACTTAATTCCAACCTTTTTATGGCTTTATTTTATTGGGGTTTTTTTCCCCATTATACCAATTAAAGCATGAGATAGGAGGCCCATGCACAAACACACAGATTATATTTGTGCAAATACAATTTAATGTTTCAAAATGGTTATTATCTACCAAAACATGTTAAGAATTCTGATTTTACTAGTGAGCCCATAGTGACATCACTATTGGTGCAAAATGGCAAAACTTAAATTTTAAGGGCATGACTTTTAAAATAATTTTCCCTTAAAAAAAGCACAGACAACAGCATGGTTATTGCAGAGGGAAAGGGGGAGGGAGATAGAAGAAGGTGAAGGTGGGATAAATGGTGATGGAAGGAGACTTGACTTGGGTGGTGAACACACAATATAGTACACAGACAATGTGCTATAGAACTGGACATCTGAAGCCTATAGAATTTTACTCACCAATGTCACCCCAATAAATTCAATAAAATAATTAAAATAAAATCATTTCCCCCTAAAAAGGCATTTTACAATAACAATTCTATTATTTTGGTGCTTCCCTTGCTTAAATTCCCAGACTTAAAACAATGTTTTCTGATACACGTTCTTCTTTCACAGAAATTCTTTTCACTCACTTTTTCTTTAGCAATCTGATCCACTGTCCTGAGACTGGGACCACATTAACCGCAATCTGCATCTAAATAACTTTCATCAACTATGCAAAGCAAAGTCCCAAATCACATCAGGCATACCTCAGGTAGAATTTCAAGGAGCTGGTGATTGTCTTAATGTCCCAGTCACTATTATGAAAATCAACATCTCCTGGGCATTTAGGATCTATTTGAGAAAAGAAAATGAGAAAAAAATGTTAATGTTCCAAGGTCTTACCTTTTACTCCTTTAAAATAAAAATAAAGTGTGTTAATTAAAAGAGAGTTACTCTAATCAGTTTTTAAGAGATAAAAACTTTACAACAAAAATGCATTTGATGTCTCAAACATTCCCTTGCATTGATTTCAGTCAGGCATGTAAGAAGCTTGGAGATCATTTGTCCCATTCACACAACAAGAAAAAGTGTAACAAATAGAAAATAAACTCCTCTTAGATCAATCAGAGGACTGAGGTCATACATAAGGCAAATACTGTCCCCAAAACTGAAGAGATAGACAGGCAGATACAGAGAATCAAAATTTACTGGAGTAGAAGCCCAGGAGCAAAATACCCCTTGGGAGCATGTACAGGGTTAGAAAAACCTAATCTGCAACTGATGATTGCTAGAGGCTTGGTGTAGACAAGTTTGAAAATGAAACATTCTACAGGGGCCCATCCTAGGAGGGGACCCCACACTTTCGTTTTACCTCCAGGAGCCCTATAAGATTCTCACAGTGAAGATCTGAGAAAAATCCCTCATGTTTCTGTGCTTCTGAGAGGAGGAGAGAAAAAGTTGCCTTTTAAAAAATACGCACAGAGCATTTCATTCTTCTTAACCAGACTCATCCGCAAGAGAAACTATTTTACCAGACTGCTGTGTGCTGGGGTTTTACCACAGCTTAAATGACCTAGGGAAAGGGAAATTCCCAACTACAGACTGCCTTCCTGTCTCTTCTAAGAAGGAAAACCAAAATAAAACTGAGAAGTGCTTGCGAAGGTCACAGGCCGGGGCAAAGGCTCTTTAAAGACTAAGATGTAATTACAGGACTGTAGAATGTTACCCCTCTCCTGACATCTTACCACCACATCCAAAGGCCTCCTGGATAATAACATGGAAATATGACTAAAATAACTATGCTTCTCAGATAATATTTAAGAAGTCTCTAGGGAAAACCAAAGACAACAGGGGAAATAAAAACAAGGACACCGGAGGTAAATTTCACCTGTGACCTATAAATACAGAAAACAATTAACACAGGCTAAACTCTAGCCAGATAAACAAAATATCACATTAAAGGTCTGTTTACCTCAGTTCCCTTTACCCCTTACATCATGTCTGGCTTGCAATAAAAAATTGCAAGATACTAAAAAACAGATACCTTTTAAGAAATACTAAAAACAAAAAACACACAATTTGAAGAGACACAGTAAACCTCAGAATAAGACTCAGATATGGCAGAGATATTGGAATTATCAGATTGGGAATTTCAAACAATTATGATTAAAATGCTAAGGTCTATAATGGATGATGTGAGTAATATAAAAGAAGAGATGAATAGTGTAAGCAGACAGATAGAAGCTATAACAAAGAACCAAAGGGAAATTCTAAAATCAAAAACACCACAACAGAAATGAAGAAATCCTTTGCTGGGCTCATTAATGGACTAAACACAGCTGAGAAAATAACCATTGAGCTTGAAGAAATGTCAATAGAAACTTCCAAATCTAAAATGTAAAGAGAGAAAAAAACGAATATCCAAGAACCTTAGGACAATAACAAAAGATACAGCATACATGTAATGGGAATACCAGAAGAAGAAATAGAAAAAGGAACAGTAGAAATATCTGAAGGAATAATAAGTGAGAATTTCCCAAAACTAGTAATAAACAACAAACCACAGATTCAAGAAGCTCAGAAAACACCAAGCAGAATACATACCAAAACATCTACACCTAGGCATAACATATTTAAACTAAATATAAAAAAAGAAAAGGTCTTGGTAGAAGCCAGAATAATAAAACACCTTACCAAAGGAGGAGCAATGATAAGAATTATATCATACTTCTCTTCAGAAACCACACAAACAAGAGAGTGGAGTAAAATATATAAAGTGTTCAAAGAAAAGAAGACCAGCCTGAGTTTTGTACCTTTTACTAAGCTAAATGAACCAGTCAAAGAAAAACAAGTATCACATGATCTCACTTATATGTGAAATCTAATGAGCACAAGAGAGTGATGAATAAAATAGAAACACAGGCATGAAAACATGGAACAGACTGACGAACCTCAGAGGGAAGAGGGATGGAAAGAGATTAACCAAAGAACTTATTTGCATATATGCATAACTCATGGACACAGACAATAGTGTGGTGAAGGTGGGAGGGGGAGTGGGGAGGAGGGGGCCAATGGGGGAAAAAGAGGGATATCTGTAATACTCTCAACAATAAAGATAAATTTCAAATAAAATAAAACAGTAAAGGAGAAATACATTCTCATTTAAACAAACTTGAGGAAATTTGTCACCAGTAGACCAGCCTTGCAAAAGACATTAAAAGAAGTTCTTCAGCCCTGGCTGGTTTGGTTCAGGGGTTAGAGTGTCGGCCTGCGGAGAGACCCAGGTTCAGTTCCCGCTAAGGGCACGTACTTCGGTTGCGGTTTGTCCCCAGCCCTGTTTGGGTCATGTGGGTGGCAGCCACTTGATGTGTCCCTTTCACATCGATGTTTCTCTTCTTTTCTCTCTCTCTCTCCCTCCCACTCTATCTAAACAAAAAATGGAAAAATGTCTTCGGGTGAGGATAAAACAACAAAGATTCCTTGTAGAGGAAGCTATAGGTCAAACTCACAACTACATGAAGAAGAGTATGAGAAGAGGAATAAATGATGGTAAATAAAACCTTTTAATTCTCCATTCTTAATTGATCTAACAGGTAAAAGTTCAAAATAACAGCAACAATGCAGTGATTATAGCTTATAGATAAGGGAAATGGATGACAATGGTTTAAGGGATTAAAGATAAAAATTACAAGTACTCTGTTATAAGGTACTAATACTACTTGTGTAGTGGTACAGTGTTACTTAAAACAGAACTTGAATAAGTTGTAAAAGTATGTTGCAAATGGAAGGGCAACCGCTAAAAAATGTTTCACAAATAAATATAACTGAGCCTGGCCGGTGTGGCTCAGGAGTTGAGCATTGACCCATGCACCAAGAGGTCGCCGGTTTGATTCCCAATCAGGGCACATGCCCAGGTTGTGGGCCTGATCCCCAGTGGGGGGCATGCAGGAGGCAGCCAATTGATGTTCCCTCTCATCGATATTTCTATCTTCTCTCTCCCTTCCTCTCTCTATAAAATCAATAAAGAAAAAAAAATTAAGTATAATTGATATGCTAACAGAAGAAAAAAATGAAGTTGTATAAAATACTCAATTAAACCCAGAGAAGGAAGAAAAGAGTAGAAGAAAATAAGAGAAAGAAAGAATAAGAACAATGAATACAAAATAATAAAAGACATAATAGATTTTAATCCAATTACAACAATCATCACTTAAAATGTCAATGACATAAACATACTGATTAAAAGACATTGACTGTCAGAGTGTATTAAAAAAAAAAAAAACAAGACTCAGTTGTATATTGTCTACAAGAAATCCACTTTAAATGTAAAGCCAGTTATAGATTAAAAATAAAGGGAATAGAAAAAATATGCCGTGCTAACACTAATCAAAACAAAGCAGGAGTAGCTCTATTTATTTCAAACAAAGCAGACTTAAGATCAAGAAGAAGTATCATGGATAAAGAAAGCCATTACATAAAAAGAGTAATTCTTTAAGATGACATAACAATCTTTACCAGGTATATAATTAACAACAAACCATCAAAATACGTGAGACAAAAACTGATAGAACTGCAAGGACATGAATCAGCTATTGTTGCGAGAGACTTCAACACCCCTCTATCAGTAATTGACAGATCCACCAGGCAGAAAACCAGAAAGGATATAATCTGACTGAATTGAACCATCAGTAACCTGGATCTAATTGACATTGAGAGACTACTTTATCCAACACAGCAGTATGCACACTCGTCTCAAGTCCATATGGAACATTTTATCAAGGTAGACCACATTTTGAGCCATAAAATGCATCTTAACAAATGTAAAGGATAGAAATCATGCACAATCTTCCCTCAGATTACAATGAAATTAAACTAGAAAGTAATAACAGTAAGATATCTGGAAAAAATAAACACAAAATACTTGGAGATTACACAACATACTTATAAACAGCATGTGAGTCAAAAAAAAAAAAAAAGGAAATCTCAAGAGAAATAAAAAAACACAACTTATAAAAATGTGTGGGTGCAGTAAAAGCAATATGCAGAGGGAAATATGTAGCATTGAGTACATATATTAGACAAGTAGGAAGAACTAAAATCAGTACTCAAAACTTCCACCTTATGAAACTACAAAAAGAAGAACAAATAAAATGCAAAGAAAGCAGAAGTAAAGAAATATTAGAGCAGATATCCATGAAACTGAAAACAGGAAATCAATAAAGAAAATAAACAAAACTAAAAGATGGTTCTTTGAAAACATCAAGAAAATTAATAAACCTTTAGCCACGTTAATTAAGAAAGAAAAAGAGAAGAAACAAATTACTAATATGAGAAACGAAAGTGTGACAATCATGCCTGACCCCACGTACACTGAAGAGAAAATAAAGGGATATTATGAAGACCTCTCTGCCTATAAACTAGACAACCTTGATCAAATGAACCAATTCCTCCAGAGACACATTCTATCAAAGTTCAAACACACAAAAGAAATAAAAAATCTAAGTAGGCTGGTATCTACTAAAGAAATTGAATCAATAATTAATAACCTGCTTAAACAGAAAACACCAGACCCAGAAACAGGAAGTCTAAAAGCTCAAGGCCCACTGGGGTGGGAACCCCGCCTCTGGACACACTGGGGTTATGGATCTGTTCCCAAGGCTCTGGGTGGCCCCAATCCCATGGCTTTGTTGGGCACCGCCCACTCTGCAGCTCCCCTGGGTTAGAGTTCAGTGCCTGGGGCTCTCCCAGGCTAGAATTGCATACAGATGGTTCTACTAGTCTGGAGACATGGTGACAGCTCTGCCCCCACAGCTCCACTGGGCATTGCCCTAGTGAGAGCTGTCTGTGATGGC